ATATATATATATATATATATATATATATATATATATATATATATATATATATACACATACATACACATTGCAGGAGAGAAATCTTTATCTTTATTCAAAGCAGACATTGGGGGCGGAGCAAACCTTGCCACTCACAACATGGTTGATAATTTTCTTATGAACTAGTAGGTTTGCTCTGCGGCCAGGGGTTCTATGAGCTTCAACGTCAGAAAAAAGGATTTTCTTGTGAGATCTCAGCATTTGTCATCTTTAAAAGCGTTATAATTGATCATTCTCAAACTAGGTGTCCAGTCAGTCCAGGGATGAATTTAGGAAATGTGGGGCCCTAGGCAACGACAGGCAGGGGGCCCTATGAATGGAGAAGACATCACTTTAAACAGCCCCATTCTACAGATAGAGAAATGTTAATAGAATAGACATCCATTATCTGTTCTAGGTTTTGTCCCTTTTCTTGTTGTTTTCCTCTCTATGTTTTGTACTCAGGGAGACCAGCGCTGTGACACTGAGCCTGTGCGGTATGGGTGAACCAGGAAGTGATGGATGGGGCTAAAGCCTGGTTATGCTTGACGTGTCCACCAGGTGCATCACAGAGCCATTAAAGGTTGCAGCTATGCAGACCGTTTAGAGCGGGAAAACATGGAGCGACAGAACCTCCTGGCCTGATTCACAAAGATCAACATCTGGAGATCTTTTATTTAACGTCACCATGATCTACAGGCTGTAGAAAATAAATACGTTTATGTCACCATTTGATGACACAGCTGTGTTTTCTACTTCTACGTCTTAGGAGGTGTTGGTAGCTTGCAGCGTGAGCGCCCCCTAGAGTCGGCCAGAGTATTAGGAACATGGGGAAAAGCCATGCAGTCTAAAGGCTGCTGTGCAGCGCTGGGAACAGAGGAGGCGTCCAGATGTGCTGCAGAGTGGATGGATGTCAGTAAACGTCCGTTTCAACACTCATCCCAGCAACAGCCTTAGTCTCTACTCTCTGGTTAAAACAACATTAGCTATCGACTGAAGTAAACAGCAGTTCTCCATAGAAACCATCAATGTTGGGCATGTTTCTTTGAAAAAGTAATTAGTTATAGTTACCAGTTACTTCTCCCAAAAAGTAACTGAGTTACTGAGTTACTTCACAATAAAAGTAACTAGATACTAGTAAAAGTAACTAGTTACTAGTTACTTTTACTAGTAACTAGTTACTAGTAAAAGTAACTATCGCGTTACTTTTGCGTTTCTCGCCCCCCTAACCCTCCCCACCCGGCCCCCACCTTCTCGCCGTGTGTTTCCAAAGCCAGCTGAATAGAGCGGACGACAAAGACAAGAACCTGCAGAGAGTTTAGCATTTATTGCAACTCAACGTAAATGACATCAGGGGGGAACGCCATGGGAAGTTTTTATTAACAGGGCGTTCAGATCTGGCGAATTTAATAACTGGGGATGTCTAATTCTGAAATTCTGTGTTTGGGTTGTTATAGATACTGCAACATCTATCTATC